TGAAAAAAAAACACAGTAAAGACATTTCTGGGTCTTTGATGTGATCAGAACAATCCCATTTCCTTTTTCCCCTATGTCATAGGTTGATGTCCACGCTCTACAGGAGCTGTGGAGGACCCAGACAGTCCCATCACTATGCCACAGGGCCACCAGCTTGTCACCCAACCCAGCCTGGCAGCTGGAGGGTGCTGAGGCTGCCCGCACCCCCAGGGCTTCACACATCAGGGAGCCGTGGAGGGACAGAGCTGGGAAACACCAAAACACAGATGTGGAACCTCTCGGCAAACACTTGGCAGCAGCTGTAAAGCAACAGGGAAACCATTTAGGCTCCTTGGAGCCTTCATCAGGCACACAGACTGAGCACAGGATGAGGACATTCCACCAGTCCTGGCAGCAGTCTGGCATCCCTGAGACCAATTCCCACCACCAGCACTAACCCCCTCCCGCAGACACGATCGTGCTGAACACAATCCCATAAACAGCATCCAGATGTGAGCTGGGAGGCCAAATAATAGTTCTTCATCTTCTGACAATAGTGCCCAGAAAGATCTGGAAAACTGACAAAAAGCTCTGAAGTTTTACGTAATGTGCTAGGACTTCTGCAGCAACAGCTCCACCGTCCCCATCCCACCCAGCCAGGGGGCTGAGCATCCTTCCCACGCCCAGAGGTGCTGCTGTGTCAAGAAACACGAGCCCAAAATTTGCAGAGGTCCCGCGCCACACGCTCAGGAATCAGGAGGCTTGGACGCTGGTCTGGAAGTCACACTGAGGTTACCCAAGGAAGACCGCACTTAGGACGTTTCCTCTGTTTCCTGGTCCACGCTGAAAATACTGTGGGAAAAGTTATTCCCAGAAAATAATTGGTAGCTCTAAGCCTGGCCCAAGGGGAAGGAAGAGGCAGGAAGAGCAGCACTGCTCAGAGCTGGGGAGCAGCTGATGGGGGTTATTTTTTAACCAACATTTCCTAGGGAAAGGTGGGAGTGAGCCACCCTGCCTGGCCCTCCCCACAATTTTTGAACCATTTATCCGATTTTAACAACAGCCATGCAAGGACGAGCAATCACAAGTGACATTGCACAGGGTCCGGCCTGCCATCTCACCCCCCCTCGCTGTCCCTGGGTGGGAAGAGGCTGCGGCACAACCAGAACACTGGTTTAACTGGGAGCCTCCACAGACAAGACGCCTTCTGCACCCCTCACACACACCAGGTCTCATCCTGCTTCTCCGAGGTTCAGTTTTGGCTTTGTCCCCCAAACCCCACGTCCCCTCAGGCGGCTGCAAGAGTCACATTTCCCCAAGAAATTCCGGGAAAGGCGCTCCCACTTTTAACGAGGAGATTTTTTTTTCCTTTTTCTGCCGACTTCCATAGCCAAGCTAATAAAACCAGAAATTCCAGCAGAAGGGAGGAGTGGGGGAGGAGGAAAGGGAAGATACTGCTCATTTGAACCTATCCTAAATGGGAGAAGATAATTAGCCACATATATCCCAGAAAGAATAGCAACAGTATATGCAATTATTGGGAATGCACGCTTTAAGAGCATTTGCCAAAAATGCCTGCTTTTATTAAAAAGGAATGGTTTCACAAAGGCCCAACTGTAAGAAAGGTTGTAATTTGCCCAAATAAAACTTAATTTGATCCATGAAATAGCTGTGGTTTATTGTGTAATATATGTGCTATGTGTTTTAATTTAATAGAATCCAATATAATTGTAAGCCAGTCGAGTTTCGGAGCAATTTTGGGTTGTTCCCACAGTGTCTATAGCACAGATGCTACTTTGTGCATCGCACCAGCGCATACATAAATCAGGAGTATGGAAAGGACTATCCACCAAGCAGCAAGCAACGCTTCGTCACACACCAGACAGAAAATAAGACCTCTGAGGAAAGCAAGACGAGTTATTTACAGGAAATAACTCTGGATGCTCTGCCGTAAACCCTGCATGTCTCGGACTCCTGGACCCAGCCTCAGGGTGCTGGTGCTGGGACAGTGGCTGCAGATGCCATCCAGCAATGCTGTGGACCCCATTGCAGTGCCCTGTCACCACCCCCCCCCCCCCCCCCCCCCCCCCGGGGCGGCCCCGGCTCCACCACCCACAGGAGGGGAAACAGCAAGGAGTATTTGTGCTTTCTAGAGAGGCTGCAGTTGATGTTGGCCATTCATCAGCGCAGCTCTACCTGCACCGAGCCAGCTCCTGCCCCAGAACAGCTCAGACAGGAGACACAATGGAGCAAAGGCACCAGGGTCTCTCACCCCCCAGCACAGATCCACATCCACCCCACCCCCAGAAAACTGAGCTTAAAAACCAGCCGGGGCAATCAGTTCACAGCAAATTCACCAGCAGCCCCGCTCACCAAGTTCCACAGCTCAAAGCCCAAGGCAACGCATGGCACAGCAGCCACCTGCAGAGCCCCATCCCCACACCAGGCTCCTTCCACAGAGCCATTTACCCAGGTGGGACACTTGCTTTTTGACCCTGGCTTTGGTCAGAAATCCCTCTGGCTCCCGAGGCTCCTCACACAGCCCTCAGCAGCAGCAGGAGAGCAGCAGCTCCATCTCCACTCATCCTCTGACCCAGGCCCTCGCCATGTCCTGGGCAGCTGTTAAAGCTCCTCCTCCACATCCACCCCGCCCACTAGCTCCAGGACAGACACAGCTCCAACACCAGAGCAGGCAGAAAGCTCAAACCTACAGGACCCACTGAAGTTCTGGGAAGAATAGGTACACATATGAGCACTTCAGCAACTCTGGGATGTCAAATAATGTTTTTAACTGGGTAGCAAACAGAGCTGGAGATGTTCCATCACTCAAAGACCATGAAGTCAAGCAGCATCACACCCTGAGACAGACCTACAGCTCCTTCCTCTGCATCAACAGCAATATTTTTCTTTTCCCTTGCCAGCATGTGCATGAGGGGCAATATTCAGCTTTTAATTATGCATTGCACAAGTCCCCCGCACTTTTACTGCGGAGATAAAACCCTGAGGAGAAGGATTATGGTCTACAGACCAACAGACTCTGTAGAACTGTAGCAAAACCCGTGCCACAAAGGGATCTTCACCTCTTTTTAAGGGCTGAATCTGGCTTCTTGTAGCATTCATTTATTTTCCATTCTGGGTAGTAAAAGGTGTTTCTCAGTCATAACCGCCATGACTGTCAAGGACAAGGAAGATGAGCATCTTCTCACAGGAGGAGCAGCAGCCTCTGGGATCTACCAGCAGCAACTGGCTGCTTCTCCTCAGCCTACTGCACAGACAGTTTTAAAATACAGTATTACTCAAATTAGGAGGATCTTGTCAAATAAACACACTCCACAAATCAAAGTCCACAAGGATTCCAGTCCAATACTACGAGAATCACAGATTCAGGACTTCCGCTCCAGTAGACTTGGGGCATATTTGGCCCAGGGAAGCCAGGAACCGACTTGCACAGCCTTCAACCCCCTGGTTGCACCCATAACACCCTGAAGAACCAGCCCATGCCTCTGTCAGTGATTTGACACTCACAGATCAAGGTGCCCAGAGAGTTTCACTGCCCAAGCAACACCTTAGAACATCTCCACATCCCACCACCTCCGCAGATGATCCATAAAGCAGCCAGGGTGAGTCAGACCATTCAACTCAGGCTCTTCTGCAGAATCAAGATCTTACTCCTCGCTGACAAGGAAATTTGAGGGCTGCGGTCTGGGGAAGCTCCACCTGAGTAGGAGTCACTGCCTCAGAGGGGTGAGACTCACCAGCTTACCATCAGCTGAAGCACCAAACCCACACAACACCCCTGTCCTACAACAAAACCACCACCTCTCCATGCAAATAACTAATGAGTTAGAGCAAACTCCAAGGTCAGTGGGCTGCTGAAGCCCCTCAGCACAGGGGCAAAGGTGTGTTTGCTCAGGGATTTGCTGCCCCTCTGTCTCCTCTGACTGTGCAGGGCTGAGGATGCTGTGGGGATCCCACCACCCCACTGAGTGGTGGCACATCCAGCTCCTTCAGCTCAGAGATGTAACTCGCCATAGCAGCAGGACAGAAATCTGAGCACTGATATAAAGGGGGAAAATAAAGCACTTCCCTGCTGCTCTGCCTAGCAAATCTCTCCGAAAAAAGCACTTGCTGATAAAGTACAACATCACACAGGTGACCCAGCAACCTTCCCAGGAAAAAGCAAAGCCAGCTCCAGCTCAAAGGCAATCACACAAAACCATGGAGCATCCCAACACCAGGACACCCTGAGCAGCAGCAGCTCAGTCCAAGCACAGCCCAAGCAGAAACACCACAGCCCATCCCTCGCACCCTCCTGCCAGGGCACTGCTTGCCTTCCCACCCTTAAAAAAAGACACAATCTCACGTAGACCTTACAAGAACAAGAATAAAGGACAAGCCACTCACCTTGGGCATTGAAGACCACAACCATTCCAGCACAGGGAAGAAGCTCCCTTTGGAGGGTCCCAGGAGGTGGTGGCCATGCTGTTTTTATAGGGCTGGGGCAGAGGAGCAAACGCCGGCAGCTGTGGGTGAAGGCACAGGAGAGACCCATCGGGTCGTTAGCAGAACCCAACGATGCCCAGCTGCTCCCGCACACCCCGGCAGGGAATGGCTCCCCTTTTC